TTCTGTGTCATAGTAGTTTGGGAGACAGCTTCTTTAATTCTTTAAGCAAAAAATAACAGTAGGTTGTCGAACAAGTCAGAACACACATCTGAAGTGAAGAGTATTCTATACATTTTATTTTCTCTGGCCTATGGAAAGGATCCTCCAGTTAGCTACCTTTACTCTTAGGTGTTTTTGTCTTTGAAACTAAAAAAGTAAAACAAATTCCAGAACTTTTTGGTTTTGGTTGCTTCCGTTGTACCCCTCATCCTCCTGCAGACTCTAGTCATCATTTAGGATTGCCGTGCTCACAACTACAACTAGTATGAGTGTAACAGTGTTTTTTTTAATTGCTGTAGTTTGTGGCATCAGAGTGGCCTCCAGCTGTAAAGAGACAGATTCTCTCCTGTCCTGGGAGGTCAGGGTTGCAAGCAGCAGTGACTAGATTTGTTCTGGAAAGATTCTGATTGTCATTGGTTGCCCTGTTTTATGTTCATGCTGATTGATTTTATTTTAAACTAATTTTGTTTGTTGGAGAATCAGAACTGTGGAATGCACTGTAAATAGGGACCCTCATCCTTCAAGGCCAGAGGTTCCTCTTCAGCACTTTGGGTAGGGGCAGAACCTAACTGTTCTCCACACATACATAAAAGCACCAGAATGCCACAGGGACTTAATTCTTTCTTGGTTGAAAACGAAAGCCAGCATGCTTTTTCCTTTTTAATTGGTGCTGAAATAGAAAAACATGATTTTGTTTAGTAGTAGATTGCTAGAGCGAGTGATAGCGTTGGTCCTAAAATAGAAATACATTACTGTTTATTAAATATAAAATAATATGTGCAAAAATAGTCAAGCAGTAGAGAAATATGTAAAATAAAAGTGGAATTCTTTCATAATTACTGTCCCGTCAGACACGTGTTCATGTATGGGTGCGTGTACGCCCCGTGTGGTCCTGCCCAGCCTTTTGGTACGCAGTGAGGCCCCCTCCTGCTGGGGTGCTCCTGGGCTTGCGTGACTGTGCCCAACGCCTCAACGCGTGCAGAGGATGCACATCTCAGTGAATTGTCACCTGGTGAGAAAGGTGATGTCACCCTGTGATCTCCCATTCCTCCCCCTTCTCAAAGTTGACCCATCTCCTGGCTTCTGCCCCTGGGGCCGTGCCCTGTGTGCTGGAGTCTAGTTTCTTTTGCCCATTGTCCTGTTGTTGCATATAAGGGTAGCTTGTTCATTTTTACTGGTTTGTGATTGCCCATTGCTTACATATCTGGAGTCAGTAGGTGGGCTTTGGCCACTGAACACAGCCGTGAATGTTTGTGCTTGTCTTTTGCTGCCTGTATACAAGCATTTATGCCAGGCATGTTCCTGGGATGGACACGGTGATCCCATGTGTAGGGTTCTGTTTCCCAAGGTTGTCGCGAATGCTTCTTCAGGCTCGTTACCCCTTCCTCCTGCAAACCTTCACCAGCACCCTGCATCGTCAGGAATGCATGCACGTGCTCATGTGCGTGTGGGCGTGTGTGTGCGCGTGTGCGCGTGTGGGCATGCATGTGTTTAGCCATTTTACAGGCTGTACATTGCTGTGGCTTTGTGTTTCCTTGATTTTTAATGAGGTAGAAGCACGTTTCCATACACTTATTGGCCTCTTTTATGAAGTGCTTGTTCAGGATTCTTACTCTTTTTTTTAAGTCTTCTACTCTGAAACTTGTGGGTTTTTTAATCACTTATTAGTGTTTCTTAGAGAACATATTTTATTTTTTTTAAGTTTCTTAATTTTAATGTGGACAGATTTACCCATCTTCCCTCAATGATTAGTCCTATTTTGCTCTAAATCACGGTTATAAGGATTGTTTCCTGTATTCTTTATTCTTTTGCCTTTAGTGGACCATCTACCTGGAGTTGGCTTGGGGGATTGCATGAGCTATAGGGTCAACAGGTGTCATTTGTTCCATAGGGAGATCTGATTGTCCTGGCACCATTTACTTAAAAGACCCTCCTTCCTGCTCTGCAGTTTCTCAGGCATGAAAGCCCTGGTGCCTGCAGCCGTGTGCCGGCAGTTCCTGGACGCTCTGGTCTGTGCTTCGGTCCATTAGCCTCTGGCACCATCATGCCCTCCTTAATGTAGTTTCATGAGGGCTTTTAAAAAGCTTTATATATATATAAATAAAATTTTTCTTTATTGGTTTTAGAGAAAGAATGAGAAACATCGTTTTTTTGTGTGCCACCAATCTGTGCATTCACTATTGATTCCTGTATGTGCCCTGACCAGGGATCAAATCCCCAGCCTTGGTGCATCAGGATGACGCTCCAACCAGCCGAGCTACCCAGCTTTATTTTGAAGTACAACACAGATACAGAAACTGCAAAAACAATTGTATAGCTTAAGGAGTTATTATAAGGTGGACATTTTCATAACCATTCTTGGGTCAAGAAAGAAAATTCTGTCAGCTCTCCAGAATCCTGCCACGTGTCCTGTCCCAGTCAACTCTCCCTCCCTCCTTCCTGACCAAAGTAACTGCTGACCTCACTTTTATGACAGTTGCTCTCACTTTTCTTCACAGTTTCACGAGTGAATTGTGCACCTCCACGTAGGAAAGTGTTGCCTGGTTCTGTGACACGTTAGTCTCTTACCATCTCGCCTGTCTCCATGGGCATTATTTGTGGAGGAGGCCCTGTGGGTGGGCCCATGTGCCTCAGTCTAGATTTGCTGATTGTGGCCCTCTGGTGGGTGCGACATGTTCCTGTGTCCTTGGTTCCCCGCAAGTCGGTAGTTGGTCTAAAGGCTTGTTCAGATTCAGGTCTGAGCTCTGGTGAGTCCCCTGCATGGGGGTGTGGTGGTGTTCCATCAGGGGGCACAGGTGGGGGGGGGATCTCTTTTTGGTGTTGGCAGCAGTGAAGCACAGGCCTGCATGCGTTCCTCCACGAGAAGCTGTGAAACGGGAAGTTCTGGCTGAGTTCCTAAGGCTGCCTCGTGTATGAGCTGGGCCTCCAGGAAGAGAAACCTGCCCTGACCTACTGTTTGGTTATTGAGCGCTATGCTCCTGTAGCACACTGAAGATCAGAGTTTAATCCTTTCTCTTTGTCAGGTTTCAAAATAACCATTTTTCTATCATCCTCCCAAAGTGACCAGCTGATTTTATTTTGATATGAACTCATAGACTTAACACATTGGATGGGTTTTAAGCCGCGACCTCACTGTCTGTAAGACATTCAGTGTTTAGTCTGTGAATTGGTTCTTTCAGAGGTTAGCTGCAGGCTTTTTAGTTCCTAAAATGTGTGCGCTTTCTGATAGCAAAAGCGAATGAAATTGATCGCAGGGAGTTCAGCTTTGCTGATTATAGCAGCTGCAGGTGCCTCCAGTACACTGCTTGGTGGGTGAGGCCTCAACCCTAGCCCAAACCAACCTCTGTATACTGTTGCAGGGTTTTTCTGTGTTCCTCCATCCCTTTATTAGTAGACCGTTTACATTTAAATTCCTATCTTTATTTGTTCCTTATTTTCCGGTTTTGGGGTATTTTCATTATGTAAGCGGATTGTAAAAAAAGTCAAGGAACCAGCTTTTCTATTTTATTTTACCACTACGGAATTTTCTTCTATGCATATTGAGGCTGATATGTCCCTGGCACTACAGGTTTGAAATGTATAATTCAGTTAAGTGCTTGACCTGATTTCATCTTTTGTAGGCAATGCAGAAGGACCATCATGATGGTAGCAATCCTGTTTCCAGGGCAACAAGCAAGTCTACACAACGTGAAGTTACCACTCCTGGAGAGCAGAGGTCTGCACCCTGAGACGATGTGCTCCTGAGTTACATCTTCTGTTTTCCAGTAACATTTGCAATTAGCCATATTCATAAACATCCCGAAAGATAAAATTATTTTGAAAACCCTGAAGATAATGTACATTTGGGGGCACAAATGAGCATTTGGATTATTTTTTACCAACCTGAGAGATCAACATGATGACACAGCCAGAGCAGTGATGGTGAGTCATGGAGGATAACCAGGAAACCCACCCCAAAGGGGACGGTGATTTAGTTTCTGATGAAATAAATTCTAAAACAGAAGAGAAAGAGGATGGAATTCCAAATCACAGCTTGGAAAGAATGGACTTTAAAATTGAACAGGAGGACAGGAAGGTAGCTGACAGTGGTGATGAACAGGCAGAGATCAGAGAAGTGAGCTACAGCTGCAAGCCCCCAGGGAAGTGTTTGCCCCCCGACCATGAGGACGACTATGGGGCCCTGTTCTCGCAGTACAGCAGCACGCTGTACGACGTCGCCATGGAGGCTGTGACGCAGAGCCTCCTGTCCAGCCGCAACATGAGCTCCAGGAAGAAGTCCCCAGCCTGGAAACATTTCTTCATATCCCCTCGGGACAACACGAAGGCAGTGTGTGTGTACTGCATGAAGGAGTTCAGCCGTGGCAAAAACGAGAAGGATCTGAGCACAAGCTGCCTCATGCGTCATGTGAGGAGGGCGCACCCCACAGTGCTTATCCAGGAAGAGGGCAGTGTGTCTGCCTTGGCCTCCCTCTCCTCCCCTGCACTGCTGCTCCCACCACAGCCCTCATCTGTTGGAGACCTGGGCACCATACTGTCACCCATCAAACTTGTCCAGAAAATGGCCTCCAAGATCCCATCTCCTGAGCAAGTGACGGAGGAATCTGTGTCTGTCGTGTCTTCTGAAGAGGTCTCCTCTGACTTGTCCATCTCTGAGAAGTACAGCCAGGAAGAAGTCCTGGTGGGGCCACCCGCTCCCCTCCCTACTCCCCAGTATGATGACACTGCAGAGAACGGGCCACAGAAGAGCCTTCCTCTTCCAAAGAGCACCTCTGGGTCCCGAAGGTGGTCCGCTGTCTGGAAGCACTTCTACCTGTCCCCTCTGGACAGCTCCAAGGCCGTGTGCATTCACTGCATGAGTGAGTTCAGCAGAGGGAAGAACGGGAAGGACCTGGGTACCAGCTGCCTCATCAGGCACATGTGGCGAGCACACCGTGCCATTGTGCTGCAGGAGAAGAGCGGGGGTGCAACCATGCCTCCCCCCTGCTCTACCTCCCCCACCCTGCTGCACGCACTCCCACCTCCCGAGAGAGGTCCAGGCTGTGTGTCCTCATCACCAGGGAAGGCGGTCCAAGAGTCCCCCTTGGAATCATCCTCCCCACACCAACCACCCGAGACCCTGCAGGCACGTCTGAACCCTGGGGATGTGCTGATGGAAGATGCTGTGCTGTCCTCTGATGATTTTGGCGAGGCCTCCCTGGTGTCCTCTCCTGAGAAGCAGCAGGGTGATGAGTCGAGCCCTCACCTGGTGGAGCCTGGTGCTATATTCCAGCAGAATAAAAAGGTGATGAAGAGACTGAAGTCGGAGGTTTGGCATCACTTTTCGCTAGCCCCCATGGACAGCCTGAAGGCTGTGTGCAGACACTGCGGCTGTGTCATCAGTCGGGGGAAGAAGGGTGATGTCGGGACCAGCTGTTTGATGAGACATCTCTACAGACGCCACCCAGAAGTCGTTGGGAGCCAGAGGGGCTTCCTGGGGGCTAGTTTGGCAAATCCTCCATACACCACCTTGGCGTCCACAGCAGGTTCCTCCTCCAAGGTAACTGACTTGCCAACAGTGGTCACAAAAAGCAGCCCAGTTCTATTTCCCGCTCACAGTAAAAAGACCTCCAAGCTGTGGAATCATTTTTCTGTCTGCTCTGCGGACCCCACTAAAGTCGTGTGCTTGCACTGTGGCCGGACAATAAGCAGGGGGAAGAAGCCAACCAACCTGGGCACCAGCTGTCTTCTGAGGCATTTACAGAGGTTCCACAGCAGTGTGCTCAAGACCGATGTCCCCACGACCACGCTACCCTCTTCTGCAGGAGTCCGTGTGCCCCTGAGTGCAGGATTGTCAAGAGCCTCCTCCTTTGATGACACTAATGAGAAGTTTTACGATTCTCATCCAGTTGCCAAAAAGATAACGAGTCTCATAGCTGAAATGATTGCACTTGACCTTCAGCCATATTCTTTTGTAGACAATGTTGGCTTTAACAGGCTGCTCGAATACTTGAAACCTCAGTACTCTTTGCCCTCCCCTTCCTACTTTTCCAGGACAGCTATTCCCGGGATGTACGAAAATGTGAAACAGATCATTATGTCACACCTTAAGGAGGCTGAGAGTGGTGTGGTCCACTTCACGTCTGGAATATGGATGAGTAACCAGACCCGAGAGTACCTGACACTCACTGCTCACTGGGTCACCTTTGAGTCTTCAGTCCGGCCTCACTGTGAGGACCACCACTGCTCAGCACTGTTAGACGTGTCACAGATTGACTGTGACTATAGCGGCAACAGCATTCAGAAGCAGCTGGAATGTTGGTGGGAGGCCTGGGTGACATCCACTGGCCTTCAGGTTGGCATTACCGTGACCGACAATCCCAGCATAGGAAAGACGCTGAATGAAGGGGAGCACTCCTGTGTGCAGTGCTTCAGTCACACAGTGAATCTCATTGTCAGTGAGGCCATTAAAAGTCAGAGAATGGTCCAGAATTTACTTAGCATTGCTCGGAAGTTGTGTGAGAGGGTGCTTCGCTCACACGAAGCAAAGGAGAAATTGGCAGAGCTGCAGAGGGAGTATGAATTACCACCACACCATCTTATTCAGGACGTTCCGTCCAAATGGAACACGTCCTTTCATATGCTCGAACGGCTCATTGAACAGAAGAGAGCAATTAACGAGATGTCCATTGAGTGTAATTTCAGAGAACTGATCAGCTGTGACCAGTGGGAGGTCATGCAGTCTGTGTGTCACGCGCTGAAGCCCTTTGATGCTGCAAGTCGGGAGATGAGCAGCCACATGTCCACCCTCAGCCAGGTCATCCCCATGATCCACATCCTGAACAGGAAAATCGAGATGCTGTTTGAGGAGACCATGGGCATCGACACCATGCTGAAGTCTCTGAAGGAAGCCATGGTGAGCCGTCTCTCCGCCACCCTCCATGACCCCAGGTACATCTTTGCTACACTGTTGGACCCTCGTTACAAAGCCTCCCTGTTCTCTGAGGAGGAGGCAGAGCAGTACAAGCAGGATTTAATCAGGGAACTAGAAATGCTGAATTCTACCTCAGAGGACACACCTGTCTCCAATGGGTGTGATCCAGGCTCCCCATCGAGAGACTCCAGTGGGGATGACAGCTTGTGGTCTCTCATGGCCAAGATCAAAAAGAAAGACCCAAGAGAAAAGACGAAGGTGCCTGAGGCCATGGTGCTTTCCTACCTGGAGGAGGAGGTGCTTGAACACAGCTGTGACCCACTCACCTACTGGAACCTAAAGAAGTCTGCCTGGCCGAGCCTCTCAGCCTTGGCTGTCAGGTTTTTGGGCTGTCCCCCGAGTATCGTCCCTTTGGAAAGGCTGCTTAGCACACCCACTGAGAATGGTAGCTTTGGCCAGTCCAGGCTGATGATGGAACATTTTGAAAAACTTATCTTTTTGAAAGTGAATCTTCCCTTAATATACTTTCAGTATTGAAATCACAATGGAGCTACCAAGCTAAAGATGTTGTTGCTCATTAGGCACCAGCTGGTTGTCACGGCTGGTGACTGGCACCAGTTGGAGCCAAGGAGGACATCATACCAGGCACTCTCAGGTCCAGGCTGAGTTCCTTTTCAGTCTCACCATAATGTCTACATGTGCCTTACTCCTAGTCCTTCAGGCCAGATACCACTGTGTTTTTTATGAAGCCACTAGAGCAAGCTTGACTTGTCAATTATACAATACGATGATTAGGTTTTAGTCCACAACTGTAAAGTTTTTTAAAAGCTGTGGGTTGTCCTGGCCCTTGTCCTGGGAGCACTCCCAAGCCTGTCCCCTTTCTTCTTTCTCCTTCTCAGGTGTGCATATCCTAAACTCTAAGGAATCCCATGAGACGTAACCAGGGGAGCAGTGCACAGTGGCATCTAGTCCCAACTGATGTCCTGAACCTGTCTCCAAGAACACCTTTCTGTGATTTCCCAGTGAGCCAAAGCAGCGCCATCTATTCCCTCTCTGGTTGCTTCTATTCTAAGCCCTTCCTTGTTTCACTGTCCCCAGCTTTAATAAACATACTGTCAAGATGATAAAAGCTGGGGTTAGTAACTTGTTATTCTAGAGTGACAGAGTAGATGTAAACAATTTTATTCTTTAGGCTTTTTATTATATTATGTAACAACAAATCAGGTACTGTATTTTAGTCAAAAATTGCTTGAATTATAACAGAACAGCCTTTGTGGCTGTCAAATGAAATCTGTAAATAGGAGGTGGAGTAGAAGCCATCCTGACTGAGCAGTTTTTATCTGCAGCTCTAACATATGTGAGGAGTGCAGAGAATGTTCTGGACGATACTGTTCAGTAGGACAGAGAGTGGCATTTGAAGACAAAACTAAACTTAGATGTTTCATGGAATATCAGTCACATGGTGGTTGGTAAGAAGAACTTCCCCATGTTCTGTTTTTGTCTTGAGGTTTCACATGGTTAGTTAACTGGGAGATGTCCTGACTATTTATAAAGCGCTCCTTGCTGCCTGTTGTCCAGCCAGTGGACAACATGTTTACAGCAGTTCTGGTGATTGAACCTCCACGCCTCTGACTTAGTGTCTCTACACTTGAAGCCATCTTTTGAAATGTGTGTATTGCTTCCATTTGGTCAAATCACGTATGAAATTCCTTTTAGAAGAAGTGGCTTATTAACAGGGAAGGAGTCGTAAGAATAGCCTTAGGTATTTAGATTTTTTTATATTACAAAAGACTCAGCCATCACGGGTATTTTAGAGTCCCAGGGACATCAGGATGAAGTGGTGTCAGTTGTCAGATTCTTTTAACAGTAATATGTCTTCAGAGTTTTTGCTACAACATCTAGAAAGTGGTGCATTTTTAATTTCACACCAATTAAGTATGCTGGGTGAAACAAGTCACTCATTGCCTGTGACCTTTTAGAAAAGTTGTTGTCTCATCAAAATACTGTACCTATTATTAATCTCACTTTGCATTGACTATGTTTTAGTGTATTTATAAACGGGGAACTCAGTTTCTGAAATTAAACTTTTTATTTGCAATTTTCTACTGTTAGAGAACACTGGCTCTTTCTTCTTAGGATGATAAAATAGTCATCCTCCTTGGGGGCCAATATACATGGAAACCACAGTCATGCAGCCATTGGATTTTCACCTTAGCTCCGGGTAGGACACAAGAGAGGTGATGATGTCGTTCTTACAAAAGCGTTTCTGAGATGGTGTTGACTTGTGTTCAGAGTGAGTGCTGTGCCACGTGTGGTGCCTGAACAGAAGAGCCTGAAGGCAGCCTGGCTGTTGTCTTTGTCATGTAGCCTGTCCCCTGGATTGCTGTGCACATTCCCGAGACCAGCCTCTGTTTTCAAGGCCCAGGGAGCACTCATCAGGGACACATTAGTGAATCATGCTGACATGGTTTTCCCATGACATATATGAGGAGTCCTACAATTGTGTGCTTAAGGCGATACTACCTGTAAAGACTTCCCCAGTTTGGGCCCGCCGGGTGCAGCTCAGTGGTTGAGCATTGACCTAGGATCCAGGAGATCAAGGTTCGATTCCCAGTCAGGGCACATGCCCAGGTTGCAGGCTCGATCCCCAGCAGGGGGCGTGCAGGAGGCAGCCCATGAATGGCTCTCTCATCACTGATGTTTCAACTCTTTCTCTCCCTCTCCCTTCCTCTCTCTGAAATCAATGAAGATATATATATATATAAAATAAAAAAAAAGACTTCCCCAGTTTGGAATCCAGGCTATCATTAGTCGTCCCTGTGCTGAGTCTACTGAGGTCCAGGAATTGAGTCCAAAAGGCCTGAGTAGATGTCATGGAGATCTAGTGTTGGGCTCATGACTTTCCTTAAGGGAGAGTCCATTAGCCTGTTATCTGGGGCTTCTAGTAGCCCTTCCTCACAAGATTTGGCAGGGCAAGGCCGTGGGTGGCCTTCTGGCTGGAGGACCTGGGCTCTCACTGGGCACCCACCTGAACTTAACTGGGAAATGTTTCCTTGAATGGTCCATACACCTGGTACTGGGCTGATGCTTTGAGTTTTTCAGGTCTCTAAACTGCTCTGCCTCCAGTTTACCAGTCACAAGCTGGGGCCCCCTGACCCTCAGGGTTCTGTGGGCCACACGAGGCTGTGTGTGTGCTCAGTGCCATGTGGCATTTCCCAAGCTCATGTCAGAGACAGGCATTGACCCACTTTCTTACTCTGTATTCACACTTCAAGGGTTCAACTTAGGTTTCCACAGTAGGGGAGGGTACATTGCGTAAGGACAGTGAGCTGTGGAACAGCAATGTGGCCAAGGACTAGGCCAGCCCATTCTGTGCCAGAACTCTGCTCTTCCCTGTCCATCCCCTGCACAAACTGGGACTGGCTTCAGTGTGATGCCTCCTGGTCCCTGTACCAGTTTGGTGCTGCCCCCAACAGACTTGCACCAGCCTATGGAGGTGCCCAGGCAGCCCTGGTCCAGTCATCTTTGGGTTGCAGAGGAGGTGGCAGCTTTCACAGGACTCCCAGAGTTGAGGAGTTGTCGGTAGAGTGCTATGTTCCCTTGCCAACCTGCAGCCCTGCTTGTCTCTAGGTTCTATTTGAATGGTGACATCTGAGGATTCCCCCTAAAGCAGGTCAGTACAGAGTACCTGGCAGTCTGTCCCATTATTCCCCCTTTATGCTGGCCCAGAATCTTGTTAGAGTGAACACAAGCCATGCCCCTTGGAGCTGATCATCTCGGCTAGGCCCACTGCACCCATGGCATAGTTAAACTTGCTGCTTGTTTGCCTTTGGTTTCCTTTGTGTGCTGTCTACAGTACCCAAGGTAAGGCACAAAAATGACATAAGACAATTAAGTTTATGCCTCTGGCTGATCTTGGCACAGAGATGGCCTACAATAACAATATAAAAAATACTAACAAAAATCAGAAAACTGTGGGGAGGGGGAAGAATCTGATTTGCAGAGTTATCACATCCCTAGATTTAAATGTCCATTTCAACACATAATCTGAAGGTATACAAAGAAACAGTAAAGCATGGCCCATTCAAAGAAAAAATAAATCAAGAGGAACTGATCCTGAAAAAGACCTGATGGCAGATCTACTGAAAGACTTTAAAGCAACTGTCTTAAAGTTAATTAAAGATTGCTGGCCAGTGTGTTTCAGCTGTTGGAGCATTGCCCCGTGCACCAGTAGTTTGCAGGTTCGATCCATGATAGGTGTGCATGCAGGAGGAAATCGATGTTTCTTGATCTCTCCTCCCTCCCCCTCTCTCTAGAATCAATTAAAAACACCAAATAACATATCTTCGGGTGAGGACTAAAAACCAGGTAAGTGCTTAAAGATCTAAAGGAAGATATGCTGGAAATCAAGAAAATGATGTGTAAACAAAATGAAAATATCAATAACAAAAGAAAACCTGAAAAGAAACCAGAAAGATATTTCAAGGTGAAAAGAATAACTGAAATGGAAAATTCACTAGAGGGATTCAAAGACAGAATCAAACAGAAAGAATGGCAAACTTCAAGATAGGATAACTGAAATTATTGAGTCTGAGAAACAGAAGTAATGAAGAGGAAAGGAAAGGAAAAGGAGCATAAGGGACCTGTGGGACATTAGGAAGCAAACCAATGTATGCATTGTGGGAGTTCCATAAAGAGAAGAGAAAGAAAGGGGCAGAGACACTGTGAACAGATAATGACCAAAAATAAAATACATTAATAAAAACATCCAAGAAGCTGAATGAACATTAAGATGGACTGAAAAAAACACAAACAAACAACCCCACATTGGGACACATTATATAACCAAATTGTCAAAAGAAAACTGAATCTGGAAAGTATCAAAAGAAGTGATTAAATCACATACAAGGAATCATAAAATGATCAGCAGATTTCTCATCACAAATCTTGGTGACCAGGAGACAGTGGGCAAATACTTTGTCAACCAAAAATCATATCTAGCAAAACTTTCCTTCAAAAGGGATAAATTAAGACATTCCCAGGTGAGCAAAAGCTAAGGAGTTTGTGACCACTAGACCTGCTCCTCCCAGAAACGCTCAGGCGAGTCCTGCAGGGTCCAATGGAAAGACATGAGAAGACGTGTGAAGAAATAAAGTGTTCAGAAAATGTAAATACAGGGGCAATTATAAAAGCTAGTCTTACTGTAACAGTGCTTTTGTAACTCCACTTTTTGTTTTCTGCATATTTAAGAGACTGATACATTTAAAAAACAATTACTTCTGGTTTGGGGTCCTCAGTAAGAAACTTTCAAGTCACCTCTCCATCCTAACAGGTGAAAAGCAGGACAAACTGAAACATCAGCCACTCTTTCTGGGATCTGTAAGAGACAGAAGGACATGGCAAACCCCTGCTATCAAGACTGGAGAGACAGGTGAACACAAGTCATGGCTTCCTGGAGCAGAGAGTCATGGGCAGAAACCGCCAGGGGAACCTGTGCCCCAGGTTCTCTAAACCATAGGTGGTGAATTTCTGGAGGGTCAGCATGAACTCTGCTGAGAGTTAAATACTCCAGGGAGACCCAGTCATACAGGCCCCACCCTATGACATGATTTTCCTCCAGGAGCATGAGCAGGTTCCCACAGCAAATGGCAGAGACAAGTCCCCTCATGCTTCCAGCAAGAGGAAGGGAAAGGGACCACTTAAAGATACCAGAGTAGCCATGGCTGCTGTGGTTCAGTGGTTAGAGCATCAGCCCATGCAGTGAAGGGCTGCGGGTTTGATTCCTGGTCAAGGGCACGTACCTGGGTTGCACGTTCGTCCCCTGCCCCGGTCGGGTATGGGAGGCAACCAATCTGTCTCTCACATCGATGTTTCTCTTACTCTCCCCATTACCCCTCCCTTCCACACTCTCTAAAAAAAAAGGAAAAATATCCTCAGGTAAGGATTAACAACAAAAGACACCATGGTAGACTTCCAGTCTAGATGGTGGCATAGGGAAACCCCAGTACTCACATCCTCCCACAACCATCTCAGAATTTTGACTGACCTGTAGAACCACTGTCACTGAGAATCGCCTGAAGTCTGGCTGAATGGAAGGTCCTACAAAGTAGGGAACTGAAGAAGCCACACCAAGCCTGGTAGTAATGGCAGAGCTGCACAGTGGGCTGGTCCCACCCCAATGTGGCTGTTTAATATCAGGAGGGATGCCCGGCCAGCATGGCTCAGAGGTTGAGCATCAACCTACAATCCAGGAGATCCCAGTTACATTCCCGGTCAGGGCAGATGCCCAGGTTTCAGGCTTGCTCTCCAGCAGGGGGCATGCAGGAGGCAGCCGATCAATGATTCTCTCATCATTGACGTTTCTGTCTCTCTCCCTCTCCCTCTTTTTCTCTAAAATCAATAATAACATATTTTTAAAAAATAAAATTGGGATATATCTGCTCCTGGAGCATAGGTTGATGCTCAGCCGCTGAGCCATGCTGGCTGGGCCTAATTAAAGAATTTTTAGAACGTGAGAGGAAAACGACCAAGTATCCAAAGGAGATTGGACAAGAGATGTGAGCAGTCAATTCACAGAACAGAGAGCCCTTGAAGCTGTGAGAAGGTACCAACCTCGCCCCCAGGGAAGGAAGAGCACAGCTATTGTGAGACACCACTGCTCACCCCCTAGGCTGGCAAGTTGACTTTCAGCCCCAGGCCACCCTGTGAAGAGGAATCTGGCAGGACTGAGCCAAGCTAACAGGCACTGACCCTGAAGCACCCACCCAGCACCCCAGCACTAGGAACTTACCCTGAAGATGCCCTTTGATCCATATGAAAGCACAAATGCCTACCGTTAGTCGCTGCAGGATCATCTGAAGCTTGAAAATAGTGGCAACCACCTAAATGCCCCCACACGAAACTGAAGAATTGGCAGCCCACATAACACAGGCCATATGTCCCAATCACAAGAGCTCTGCAGGGACAGGCAAAGTGATTGCAGATGCTGCAGAAGAGCATAGGTGGAATGCCACCCTGGGTGTAAGAAAGGGAGGCATTTGCTTATCTTCAGAGAAAGAAGTACGACCCAGACCAGGGCACTGGTGACGAGAAAGGGAGGGAGGGACTCCCCTGTGCAGACTTCGGCCTCAATCGACTGACCGGAAAGAGTAAGTCAGACCCTGGGACTGAAAGCAAACCGAAAGCATGAACCCAAGAGCAAGTTAAATGAAAAGCACACCCACAGTCAAGGGGGACTAACCCAAGGGCAGCATGTGACCATGAACCTCCGGTCGTGGGCACCGGAGTGAAGGATGCAAACCCCCAGCTCTGTTCCGTGGCTTTGTTTCTGCAGTCGTGTGGCAAGGCAATTCCAAAGCTTGTTACCCTGCTGAGCAAACATATTGCTATTGCTGGGGTCAGGATCTCACTGTGGGAGCCGGGACAGGTGGACGGGGAAGAGGCAAACAGGCCCACACACAGGTGGGACTGGACGTGTCAGCACGCACCATTTCTCCTACACCTGTCCTGCCTGCCTGCGTCCACAGGAAGGGCTTAGGAACAGACCTACCAATAGCAGTGAGCACATTCTGCACCAGACCTTGGTCTATGAAAACATTCCCCGCCAAAAGGTGCCCTCAGAGAAATGGCTGGTTCCAAGGTGGGGTCAGAGGCCAAGGGGAGCAAGGGTGGGACACCTTGTGCCAAGAAGTAGGACAGGGCTCCAGAAATGAACAGTGATGGGGCACGTGACAGGACAGAGCAGCCTGACAGCCTCCCGGCATGAATCTCGCACAGTCTGAACACAAGATGAGTCGACGGTGTGATTCTCAGACCCTCAGGCCCAGCAGCAACCCACGCACATGTGCTAATAATCTATGACAAATATTTGAACGCTGACAAGCTACCAGTGAGTGGCAAATGCCAATCACAGATAAATAACAAGTACTGATGACAATCAGGTAAATGGGGGCAGGTGGGGGCTCACACACATGCAGTGCCCAGTGCCAACTGGCAGGTGTGGAGGCCCTGCAGTGCTGGCAGCACCATCAGCAGTGCTGAGTGGGGCCCAGCTACAGGGGGTCTTGGCCTGAGGGTCTGCAGTCGGCCAGTCACCGTGGAGAAAACAGTAACTACCAGGCGTCTCTCCCAGGACACGCTGGGAGGCTCAGGGTTCCAGGCCTTGTGGTAGGCAACTTACTCTCAAATGCTGACAGTAGCCTGTCTTTATGTACGTGTGTGCATGTGTGTGCATGCATGTGGTATGTGTGCACACGTGCAGTGACACCCCATTCTCTGCATTGACTCCGGTGTCAGATACACTGGCTACTTCATGCTGTTCAGTAAAGTGTAAAAGTGCCAAAATCATCACATAAAAGTAAAACCGAGGTGAAGGCCCCCTGGAGACATCACTATGTAAGACTGCCAGTAAGAGAAGGTTCACAGATTTTAATTCTCATTCCATCTGAACGTGTGTGTGTCTAAGATTCCCTCTGAAATGCAACTGTTCCTGTGAGTAGGAAGAAAAACTCGCCTGCAGCTCAGGGTGCAGGTGGTGGACTCCATCCAGCAGGTGCAAAGCTTCCAATTTCACAGTTCCACAGACACTCCTGGGACCTTTCCAAAGGCTGCACTTTATTAGGTGCTCTGGGGCCAATGGGCAGCAAATGTGGGGCCTCCTGAAAGCAGCGTCCCAGGGCGGTCGGCCATCCCTGTGGCTGTGCAGGGCCCCTCATGCTCACGGGCAGTGTGTGGCGCGGAAGCGGGGCCCATGCCTCAGGTGCAGCCCTGCAGGGGCACGGCTTGGTTCTGTGATTGGTCTGTGTGCTGCTCTGTGTCCGACGCTGTGCGCCCCTCAGGAAGGTGGGAGGAGTCTCTCCAGAAGCACCAGCTTTGTTCGCAGGTTGATGTTGAAGGGAGGCAGCCTGGTCAGGTTCAGACTCACCCCAGTGGTACCCGCAACATTGGCCAGGACCCGATGTGTGTCCCTGTAGAGGGCCAGGTGCCCGGGGGCCGCCTCCATGAGCAGGTGTGTGTAGGCCAGCATGTGCTCCGACCCAGGCTGCACGTCCTCCCTCTTCTCGTATCTGCGAGATGAGCGGACACCTGCACCCGTGCTGCAGCCCTGCGCCAGCCCCGCCCCCAGGCACAGCCCTGGGAGAAGCGCCACCACCCACAGTCACACCTTGGCAGGAACATACCTCCAGGCACCATTGACCTCCAAGAACCGAGACACGCCCGTCTGTGCAGCAGCCACATCAATGTGCAGGACAACACCTGTGGAAAACCGTGTGCTCAGTTAGAACCGTGGTCTGGCACCTCTGTCCGAGCTACGCTGGTCCCCACAGCCCCAGCACGTACCTGTCTGGGGAGGCACCAGCTCATGTAGCTGCTGCATGGCCACACCACCAGGGTAGTTGAAGTGGGACACGTACAGGGCTGTGGCCGAGTAGGCGGCATTCAGCACCAGGTGCCCTATCACGAGGAGGGAGCCTGCCTTGTACAGCCAGGACTTCTGGTGGTTGTTCAGCCTGGAAGAGCAGGACGTTTCGTGGAGAGTGAGCAGCAGCAATGGGTGGAAGGGACATCCCAGAAACATAACCCCGCTGGTCCCCTTCGCAGGGTGAATAAGGTTAATCACCAAGTAGACACGTAAGTGGGTAAAACAACCTTACAATCTTTCTCTGTGAAATCCCACCCAAGATGACAATTTTAAAAACATCCTGAGTTATGACTTAGGTGGGAGCACAGCCCCAAAGCCAAGCCCTGAATGATGCCAGCTCGGAAGGGAAGCCAACCGGACAGGGTGGAGCAGAAGCCACGACAAGACCGTGAGGCCCACGGAAAGAATACTGACTGACTGGGCCTTTAGGGGGTGCTGGCCCGTGTCAGCTCAGGGACCCGTGACCAGACTGCTGAGCCCTTCTAGACGAGGCCTTGGCCTATGGGGACTGCAGACCCTCGGCATGAACAATGCACCAACCACATCAAGGTGGCACCCCTAGGGAGGCCTCAGTCCCTCAGCCCCTGCCTGAGGAAGCCCTGTGCTGCCAGGATTCACTGTGTTCCAGCCAAACCTGGTGAGGGAAGGTGGCCCCTGGACCGTTCATGGGCAGGGACTGCAGAAAGCTTGGGAGCATAAGTCCCGTCTCTGCCCTCTTGAGATGCAAATCTACCACCCAAACCTTCACCCAAGGACCCAGATCAGTGTTCAGGGAGTAAGTGCTGCATCCCTGTGGGAGGGAAGGGACCCGGGTGCACTGCTGCCTTCACCATGGACACACGGCATGCCCCTGTCTCCGTTCCCCATCCAACCAGCTCTTTCCCCAGAGGCCAAGCTGTTGGCTCAGGAGGGTGAGTTCAGTGCACCTGCACCCTCCCCACCACAGGGCTTACAGGACCCTGTGCTCATGAGGGCCCGGCTGGGATCTGATGGCATATTTTCTGTGAACTAGGTCCCCTTCCATCTCAGCCCCCAAGGGCGAGCCAGAGTGCTACCCTGAGCAGCCCTCCTTCACCCAACTACCCAGCCTCAGACCCTCTGCGGCTGGCGGCTATCTCATGTCCTGCCCGAGTGACTGGGCCTGTGTGCAGAGGCATGGTGAAGCCGTCCCCACTGCCAGCACTCACAGGTAGGCACAGCCCCGGGCAGCCACGGTGTTGAGCAACGGGAAGGTGTAGATGATGAAGCGCAGCTCCTTGTGTGGGAGCAGCGAGTAAAGGGCCACGAAACCCAGCGCTGGCAGGAGCAGCGCCCAGGCCCTCCTGTCCACGAGGCCCAGGGGCACGAAGAGCAGGCTGCTGCCCAGGCCCCGTGGCAGGGCAGAGTAGAAGTACCACAGCAGGGGTGAGGTCTGGGTGGGTGGGTTAAGGAGGCCACATGTCAGCAACAGGTACCTGTCCAGTCAGCTGGACTCAGGCCAGGAGCCATGGAAGACACAGACCTGAGAGGTGTTCCTGCCTGGGATGCCTGGGACCCCTGGGCCTCAGGTCACCACGTGGTCCCCTTCACCCATAGACAGAGACTGGGACCTAGGCATGAGCACCAGCACTGTGTCTTGAGGACGGTGCCCAGGCTGCAGAGGGCTTTTACCTTCCTGTCCTTTTTCTCCTTTCTATCCAGGGCAATGGCGCACTGCTCAGCACACCGTTCTCTGTTGGTGAGTGTAAATATCTCACAATAAACATCAGAAAGTGGAGCACCCATCACAGGACAGAGGAAGCTGGGGCTACAAAAGCAAGGGTTTCCACAGGGCAGGTAGGACACCGGAGCGGGGAGATCCTCAGGCCCCGCACCTCGTGGGGTCTCCTGTGTGGACAGGGCTGAAGGTGCCGTCCTGATGCTACAGCAGCTGCAACAGCCACCACATCCCCCTCAGGTGCACCTCTGTCAGGCTGGCCCCCAGCTGGTGCACCCAGCAGATGCAGACAGCTCACATCTGGTCTGACCGAGACCTGGGCAGCAGCCCCCTGCCCAGCAGGCCATCCCACAGCGACAGGTAAAGGATACTCCCCAGTTGGAGCTTTTGTTCTGGACAGTGTTGTACCAAAGAACAGTTCCTTCTGGCCATACAAAGTAACGCCAAAAATAGGAGTCCACAGCAACCGTCAGTCCTAACAACGTGACACAATTCCTCAGGAAACGGCACAGCACCCGAACGCTCAGACAGTGACTCAGGCTGCTGGGTGAATGGGGGGCAGCCCCAAACCCCAGGTCCCAGGTCCATGTCCCCACGGGGCTGCCTAGACACCACAAGCCATCAGCTTCAAGGGAAGGAGCTGGTGTGCTGAGGCCTCGGTCCTTGGGAGCATCTTCCTGTGGGGTCCCGCGACCCGGGCACAGCGGGAGGAGGGGAGCTGTGGGCGGAGGCTGGTGGCAGGGCAGCGCCTTGTGGGGATGCTCGGGCGGCATGGCAAGAGCAGCCACGTGAAGACTTTCTAATGCCACTCAGAGTTCAAGTAACTTTGTTTAATGACAAAAACACCAAACCCTCCCCATTTCTCTTCATCTCTGTGAAACAAGACCAAGCACCACCTCCAGTCAGGACAGCGGCACTGACTCACCGAGGCAGAGCAGGCCGGCGGGCACAGCGTAGTGCAGCGCCTTGGTCACGGACAGCCGCCGGGTGCAGAGCAGCAGCAGCAGCACAAGACCCAGGAGCAGGCTCAGCTCCGCCCTGAAGACCAGGATGGCCAGCGCCGAGAGCCAGATGAAGCGGGCCCACCGCTGCTGCAGCCAGGCTGTCAGGGCCAGCAGCACTGCACACACAGCAAGGCAGGCACTTACCTCTCCTGTGAAAGCCAGGCAGAACCCCAGGAGACAGCAGACACCTCCCAGGACAGGTACCCCCATGCGGGCCAGGCTGCACCCAGGATGTCCTGCCCCGGCCACCGCCACCAGGGTCCTGCGCCACCCCACGGCCTGACCTGGGGCTGCCTCCAGCCTCCTGCTCTATCTCAGGAGCCTCCAGGCTCCCCACGTTTGGGGCCCCCTCCCTACCCTCCACTCCAGTCCCGCTGTGCTCAGCACACCCAGCTGGCTCCACCCACAGCTCAGTGGGAATGGTGCCCTGCTCACTACCTCCCCCATGACCAGCAGAGGACCCTTCCCCAGGCAAGTGAGGGCCAGGCCACGCCTCTACCAGGTCAGCACAGACCCCCAATCCCATGCCACCCATGGCCTCCCTGGGGCCCTGCCATCTCCCTGGGGCACCCCCAGAACACCCCAAGCAAGCTGCTGTCACCCCAAGTCCCTGCAGAGCCTACACGGGGAACCCTCCCAGGTGTGCCCTTTGCTGGAAAGTGCACCTCAACCCAGTGAGAGCAGACACCATGCCCATCCCAGGCTGTCCTGTCCCTGGGCGTTTTTACAATGCCACATGGGGAGCAGCTGTCATCAGATGCCCCCTCACCTGTCACCTGGCAGTTGTGCCCTGAGCCCAGCGAGAGGCATGGGGGTCACCGCAAGGCCTGACCAGCACACCCATCAACTACGTACCCACAGGCAGGGCCAGCACGTTGGGGAGCGTCCGCGTGCAGTAGAACATCAGGTGGAATTGTGTGGCCGTCATCCAGCAGAACATGGTGGCTGCCATGGCCCCAAAATGCCGTCGCACTTCCTTTTGCAAAGTCCAGAGTCCAAAAACCACGCCAAGTCCGAGGACTGCTCTGACTAAACAGGGACAGCGACGTGTGTGACCGGCAGCGAGACAGCCCAGGCCAGGCAGGTCTTTGACACTATAACTTGCAGTGGTTGGTTAATGACCAAGTGACAGTGAAACAACCCTCAGAGGGGACTGACCTTGGGTATTAAAAACGACTGTGTGTGGGAAATGGACCGCCTAGACCCCAGCGCCAATCCCAGAGCCTGACCCCAGCGCTGCACTGTGATTGCGAGATCTAGGGCAGGGCAGGCGGCGTCTGTACCAGTGTGACAGGCCTGGCACTGGCACCCCAGGCCCTTCACTCGGCTGGGACACCTCCAGAGCCACATTTATGAGGGCCCAATGCTCAGATGGGTCCCTACTCTCCTGCCTGGGGCTCCCCAGTGCCCCGTGACCAGCACGGCCTGTCTAGTTGCCCTGTGCAACAGTGCATGTCCTACGCTGCCCCTTGGAGAGCTCGGCTGCTCCTCCTCAGGAGTCTGATTTGGTCACAGCTCACCACCAGCCCAAACTCACCGTGGGAACATGTTTGCATCTGTGGGGAAATGTGAGTATGGTCTGGGTTTGTATGCGACAGAAGCGTACTAAATGGAAAGATGGTGATTACTGGCTAGAACCGAGGATGCAGAGCTCTGTGCAGCAAACCTTCCAAAATGGGCCCAGAGGAAAATCCAGGAGGATCTGCATAGGCAGCCTCTGGGCAGGGAGGTGCAGCCACCCTCATTTCACAGTTGCCAGAGGTGCTCAGTTCCCTGTCCCAGGTCACACCCCAGAAAGGGCTGATGTCTGACCTCAACCAGTGCTCTGAACTGCCACGCCAAGTGGCTGCAGACAGCCAGGATCCACAGGTGGACACTGCTGCGTGAGGGAGCCTCAGGCTAGCCAACCAAGATCACTAGGTCTCACCACAGTTCCTCTGTCCCCATTGAAAGACCCATCCTTACCTATCAGCTGAGAATAGAATTTGGACATTCCCAGCAGCGAGAGCACACAGACTGCAGGGCTGGAGAGCACTGCGATCACCAGCGGCCCAAGGAATGTCCTGGGAACCACGCCCGGGAACTCCAGGTGATCATACTGCAGGGCGAGGGCAAGGTCAGCAGAGGCTTGGGGGCTTGGGGCGGCGTGGGCGTGGGCGTGGGCGTAGGCATGGGCCTCACCTGCTTCAGGTCTAGCCGGTGGTAGAGCAGGTCGTGCATGGCCTGCAGACTGAAGCTCTCCTCCACCTTGGTGTAGGGGCAGGTGACCAGGTGGACAGTGGCTACAGCGACCAGCAGCCCCAGCAGCCAATGCTGCCTGCCTGAGCCCGACGGCCTCTTCCCGGCCATTCTGTGCTTCGACTTCACGCACTGTCCCTCATCCACCGTCAGCACTGCCACTGTGGAAACATCTCACAGAACGAAAGCGGAGACTCCTAGATTTAAAACATCACACTTTAGGCAACACCTGGGAGATCCAGAGGACAGGAAAGCAGGAATGCTTGTCGCAACGTCTGTACGTCTAAAAACACATCAAAACACAAAGATTTTACAAAAACTCACGTGAGGAGTGTTCTCATGTTAACTGGCTGCCTTGCACTGAGCTGGGTGAATATTTCTCCAGGGAGACTTCGGACGCAGAACCTGAGTTTAGTCCTGCGTGCAGCCTGGCCCCGAGGGCAGGATGGCCCTGCACTGCACTGAAACCTGGTTCAGCCCCCACAGTTCCGGTCAAGAGCCTGGACAGAAGCTGTGAGGTGGGAGCCCAGGAGGGGAACACAGGGCAACCAGAAGAGCCCCTGAGCCTGACACGGTGGGTGGGGCTATGGGCACCTGCCCAGCTGCCTTCTCAACTGCCCCTGGTGACATGCGGAGCCCCTGGGTGGCACCACGCTGGCCACAAACGTGAATGCGCGGGTGACAAGGATGATGTGTCCTCGAGGGTCTCAGGCAGATGTGCCTGCAGTGGATGGCCCAAATTCCAGCCCAGTCAGCTCTGGCCTGGTTGACCTAGACCTGTCGACTGGGGGAAGGAAAGTTCTTTGTGTTTCTGGCTTCTCTTTAAACAGGGTTGATTTTATTTGATCAAATCCCCAAGGGCCAGAAGCAGAAGGAGCCTCGCAGTGCTGTCTGTTAGAGGGAGATTTAAGGAGTCTGCACTCTCCAAAGACAGCAAGTCAGGGGCCGACGAGCAAGGAAAACCTGTAGGTGAGAAGGGCCCAGAATCCAGCTGGACTCAGTGCACGGGGAAGAGGCTCCCATAATGAGGATCACCAGAACACCCAGTGCCCCTCAGAAGTAACTTGTTTTTCCAGATATAAACCCCCAATGGAAAGAGGTGCTGCTACTGTCTCCCCGTTTCTGAAACGTGAGCTACTGAAGGGCATGGTTTTTCTGGTTTGTTTCTGCCCCCTTCCACCCGTAACCTCAGCAAGGAGAACGGACCCTGGTCATCGTGAGTGCTCACACTGCTGGATGGAAGGTGCCTTTGAGTGTCCTGCTGCCGGGTTCTCAACCTGGGGGCAGGGCCACTAGGCCAACTCACTGCTGCATCAGCAGAGCCTGGCACATAGTAGGTGCTCAACATACTAGCTGAAGAAATTCAGTAAAGCCCTGGCTGCTGTGGCTCAGTTGGTTGGGTATCTTCCTGCGCACAAAAAGGTTCCATTCCTGGTTGGGGCACATGCCTGAGCTATAGGCTTGATCCCCAGTAGGGGGCGACTGATGTACCCCTCTCCCATCAGTGTTTCTCTCTCTCTCTCCCCCTTCCTCTCTCTTTAAAAATCAATAAAGAAATTTTTAAAACAAACAAAGAAATTCGGTAAAAACTCAAGTGTGGATGTCATCAGACCAGTTTACATTTCCAGTAAAAAGTACACTAGTGTTTTAATCCCAGTAAAACTGAGCACCTGGGACATTGCAGATTCCAGGGCCTCCCAAGACACTGATCAGGTACCAGGTAAGGAGGACCCACCCCCAGGTGAGGAGGCCCCACCCAGGTAAGGCGGTCCCGCCACAGGTGAGGAGCCCGCCCCCAGGTAAGGAGGTCCCGCCCCCACGTGAGGAGTCCGCCCGCAGGTGAGGAGCCCGCCCCCACGTAAGGAGGTCCC